CCCCAAAACCCCAAAACCCCAAAACCCCAAAACCCCTTATTTTATTAAACCAATTGAAAAATTCTCTTAGAGCTTTCCTGTGTGATCTGGAGAAGGTGGAGCTCTTGTATTAGATATTGTTGTATCATTCGGTCTTTGCATGAACATTCCCTTTAATTCTTTAACTCTCTTGCTCATCTGTTCATTCTTTTCTATCTTTTCTTGAATAGCTTCCTTAATTTCCATAATCTCTTTATCAATATCTCGATTCTTATCTTTTTGGGCTTTTACCTTCATCTTAAATTGGGTAAGTTTATTTTTAGCTATTCTTTTTATAATTTTCTTTTTCTGAATATCTGCAATCATTCTGTCTTCTTTTGCTACCTCTGATTCATCTGGTTTAACTTTGCCATTTTTAAGGGCCATTCTCTTTTCTACAACAGCTCTGCATTGTGAATTAATAGTCATTAACTGTTTCATTCCGACATTGTATTCAGCTTCACTCTGCTTACATTCTTGTTCTAATTGAGTAACTATTTCTTTTTCTTGCTGTAAACTACTTTTAAGTGTGACCACTCTTAGGTTATTTTTCCTGGTTTCCTCTTACAAGTTCTTCATAAGCTCTGTTCTTAGTATTGTTCTGCTTCTTAAAGAATTGAATCTGCTTTTCCTCTAACTCTTGGATCTCTTGAGTGAGAATCTTCATTTGATCTCTGATTTCTTTTTCTTTATAGTCTTCTTTATTTACGAGGGTATTTTATCTTCATTATAGCTTTTTGATATTTATTTATCTCCTTCAGTTTGCTCTTAAGTTCTTCATCGTCTGGTTGGTTCCTATGAGTAATAATTTGTTTGCGGAGGGATGTAGCCTTCTCTACAGCGCTTAGGACTATATCAGAGATGTGGTGGACTTTTTCACGAAGAAGTTTGTTAGAGTTTATTAAACCATCAAGTTCTTCATCCTCCTCAAGTGCATCTTCAGGAATGTTCTCATCAATATAATGCATTTCATGATCTATGTCTTCAAGACCTTCCTTGATGAGATTCTTTTTATCTTTATTTAGAATACTCCGGGATTGAGCACTATCAAAATATTAAATATAAGGAGATTTTAATGATAGAAAATGAGAAAATCGTTAGGACATAGAAGTTAAAGCATACTTTAAGCTCCTTTTAAAATTCAAGCTTGATGTCCTGCTCTTTTTGGATACTGAAGAGCCTGGCTTTTTCATCACATTTTGATGATAATCATTATATGAGTTTTTGCTCATGTCATGTTTAAGGTCTTTGTTGGCAGTTGACTGATAATCTCTACCTTCTCTTAGCTTTGGTTCGATTGTCATCGCTTTTGAATGGGGGTTCTGTCCTTTGTTGAACACTATTAATTATTAATCCAATTTTAGGATGTGGAAAAATCAGCACAGGAAATTTCTTACTGTCGTTAATAGTCTCAGAGTCTTGAGGAATAGGGTTGTGGTTATGCTTCGACATTGCTATCAAATAATTTTAATTCTAAATTTTCATTTATTTTTGTAAATATTGGGGTTTTGGGGTTTTGGGGTTTTGGGGTTTTGGGG